GGGGAAGGAGGGAAAAAAAAAAAAAGGGAGGGGGGGATTTATTAAAAAATTAAAAAGGAAAAAAAAAAAAAAAAAAAAAAAAAAAAAAAAAATTGGCTTTCAATTTCTAGGGACAATGTTTGCTAAGTCCTTGAAAAAGCTATCTTAATGTAATTTATAGCTGGTCTCAGTCAAAACAGACTGATTTAAAGACTTTTACTCAGCTTCTTTTGTGCTGAAAAATTGACTCTAAAACATCTTCATCACCTGTACTCCCATAATTACTTAAATCTAAAAGGCAAACAATGAAAATGTGCTTAGATGAAGCTAATGTTATGAAGCTGAATATTTCTACTTTAACGTGTACCCAGTATCCAGCAGTTTAAAAATTACAATCTTACAGTGGCTTTACTTGGGCTTGTTTTTTTCTTTTTGCCCTCCAAAAGTATTCACATCCCTTTCACACTCTGACTTTTTAATCCCAGTCGTCGGTGTAGTTTATTATGTTCTTACATATACCAACATAGAGTCGTGCACTATAATTACGTGGAACTAATTTTGCCATCATCTGTGGCCATCTTCCCTGCTGAAGAAAAGTACACCCCACTGCCACTGCCATGTTTCACCAAAAAGATGTTGTGTTCAATTAAGTTCAGTGTCAGTTTACAGCAAAACATAGTGTCTTTTACATATAGGCCAAGAATTTAAATTCATCTCAACCCAAGATGAAGCTCATGTTTCCAATATTATATATATTACAAAGGTAAGCTTAAATAGACATTCATAACAATAAAATTACATATTACAAAGCATGACCCTTTAAATATAGAAAAAAATCTTCCCAATAGAGAAACATTATGTAGATTTCAAAACAAAAACATTAAAATGTGTTATGCAGTCATATCAAAATCTACTATTGCGTTACATGTTCATATTTTGTTTACCCCAAATAGAGAACACGAGGCTCTTGCAAAGCTCTGTTTGATACATTGTTTTAAACATTTTTGCCTTACAGCTATTTTGTAAATGTTCCTTATGCTTGTTCTTTTGTTGTATGTATGTACGACAGCAGGCAGCAGAATGCATGCTGAGAAGAGTCGCGATAGCTTAGATAATATGCTTTGCAACTCTGCTTCAATTGTGACCCTTGCACACACAATCACATTTACACACCTGGATGATTACAAAACACACTCACACAGCGGCCAGCACAACAGGAAGTGCACACAGAACAATGTCCAACCAGAGTTGCAGAAAGGTATTCAAAGGAAAAATATAACCTCACTCCCAGAGAAAAGTGTCTCACACTGGGTTTAAGAATAGGTTGGTGTTATTTACTCAGTCAGTTTTGCCTTTAAAGTGTTTTTGCACAGCAGAGCTACATGTTAGTTACACACTCCTGACAAAGTATGCGTGCGTGCGTGCGTGTGTGTGTGTGTGCGTGTTTTTCTCTTCCTCTGCTTTTGGTCCATGATTTGGCTTTGGCTTTGTGTGATAGTGTGTATGTGTTAACCAAACTGCCATTGTCATCCCAGTGGGCGAGTCGTTGGCCCCCTCAGGACTCAGCCTCGGTGGATGTTGCCATTACACGGCGTGGTGGCTTTGGCCTTGGGGTGTGAGCCTGCTTTAATGCAAAGCACAGATGGATTGCACCATGGGCTTGCTGTTGTGGTCCACCATCAGCTGCCAGTTCAGCCTGTCGCACCTCCAAGCTCATAAGGTTAACCGTCACAAGGACACTGATTTCTTCTCTTTTTTTTTTTTTGCC